GTATTTCAGAAGGCGGGCCTTCTTTTGATACAGGAACTATCCGAGCCGTTCATGCCAGACTGGGTATAACCTAGTATGAGAGCCTGTTCTAGTACACCCTCAAAACAAAATCAAGACTTTGTAAAAGAGCACAATAGGACCCCTTTAAAAGTAGGGCTGGGCAAAAAAAAAATTAGATTTTTCGATTAATCGTTTTTTTAAATGACGTCGACTCAATATCGATTCTCAAAAGCTGCGAATCTATCTTTTCCGGGATTTATTTCAGCACACATTTAAAATAAGATCTGATTAACGTGAATCTTATCATTAGTCTTCTCCACTAGATGTCACCCTTATTTACCTTGCGTGATGTTACAACAGAAAGCCTGTCATTCATTCAGCGCTTATCATGGCCATACGCGTGATTCGCAATGATCTGGTGAAATGCTATAGTAATACTATAAATCTGCGGAAGCATTTGATATCACGCATAAGGCGCCATGATTTCCGCAATGAATGAATGGCGGATGGTGCGGCGCACTGTTTTGTTTACTACACACATACTGAAGCGCGGATGAGCTTGTGGTGTTTTCAGCTTCTGCCGTCTCACTATATGATGATATGAACACGAATGCCATCTCCAGCTGCTCTGAGAGTCACTTCATTAGCATTTTACGGTTTAATTTGAGAAAACTACCGTCATATCACATACACAGAAGCTGCAAGTTCTTCAGGGCAACCCGTCAAAACAAAAGTTTAGTTTAACGTTAAGAAACTGTCAGAATATATTACTATTTAGCAGTCTTAAGAATCAATGACGCTACTACTAATAAATATGAATAAATCTTTATTTTTAAAGGAATAATCACATCTGTTTTCTTTTTAATTTTAACAGTAAACATCTGTTGTGCAGCACTTTGTTTGCCAAAAAATAAAAGGGTTTGATTTTCATTTGATTAGGATAAATTAATGATTTATGCCTTCATCTGATTACCAGAAAAATTAAGAACATTTTATAGGGCCCTATTATTGTTTAAAAAAAGGATCCATACAAAAAAAAAAAGTATAGGTTTAAAATACAGGCATGTGGCTTAATTTCTTTTTATTAATTCACCATTTGTAAACTGATGTTTACGGTTTGTTTTTTAGAAATATCAATAGCATTTGTATTAAAACTATATTCACTGAATGTAATCAAAAAAATCGAGAATCGAATCGAGAGCTTGCAAATCGAAATCGAATCGGGACATCTGAATCGATACACAGCCCTATTTAAAAGCCAGCTGACTAATTATTATATGAAAGACATCATTTTTTAAAAATGTTGTCGTCATGCAAAAATGTACACAAATATCTTAAAAATATCAGAAAAAAGAATTTCTAGGCAAAAATAACATGCTATTCACTTTTTCAGTGCAAAAGTATGAAATTACAAAAAAACAATAACTGTTTTAGGAAAAAGTACTGTTCAGAGATGAAAGAATGAACAGAAAGGCATTAATGTGGCTTCAACACTTCTCGCCACAGCTTGAGTTTCTTCTGAAACACCACACTGACTCAACCTGCCCCACTTCTGTGGAAACGCACTTAGGAATTAAAAATGCGTAATGCATTATTTAGTCACTTTACAACATGACCAAGGATTGTTGGAGCACTGATAAACGGATGTTTTACAGAAAATCCAGATCTGACACTGAGAAAGGCAGGCTAAAATGCACACAATACAAACACTAGGGCTGGGGGATACAGTAGATGTCAATATTTGTCACCCTTCGAAGATATTTGACAAAAATATCAATATAAGAAGACATTGTTTCACCCAAAAAGCCACTATAGCCAAGAATTGAAATGTTTAATACAAAACATAAAACGGAATTAAAATATAGTTAATAAACATGTTAAGTTTTGCACTGTTTTTCACTAAATTAACACAAGGGGAAAACTATTATGTTTATGCACCAATAAAACAATATATAACTTCACTTGCCGAGATGTTCTGCTGGACTTAACACTACATATTTCTGTCTTCTCTCTCATATTGTGCCTATTATGTTTATGCACCAATAAAACATTACATAGCAGTCTAAAAATATATTTATCTTCATATTTCTTGTTCTGAGAACCATGAGTACAAATTGTTTAAATGGCAAATTTTGAACTAAATGGTCGAATTAAAAAAAAAAAGTAAATAAATGTAACTTTAAAAATTTAAATATATATTTTTTGTACAATACAAAACCTTATATATAAATGATTTGCAATCATTTTTTGGCTGATTAAAAACAATAGCCACAAAATAACTGCAAATCATTACATAGCAACATATGCATGTACTGTACGATTTGCAATTATTTTGCAGCTGATTATAAAAAAAAATTTGCTAAATTGATATATACACTATGCATTTGCAATGATTTATATTGTAAATGGCAAATTTTGAACTAAATGGTCGAATTAAAAAAAAAAAGTAAATAAATGTAACTTTAAAAATTTAAATATATATTTTTTGTACAATACAAAACCTTATATATAAATGATTTGCAATCATTTTTTGGCTGATTAAAAACAATAGCCACAAAATAACTGCAAATCATTACATAGCAACATATGCATGTACTGTACGATTTGCAATTATTTTGCAGCTGATTATAAAAAATTTTTTGCTAAATTGATGATATATACACTATGCATTTGCAATGATTTTATATTGTACATATGCATATACATAAACACATACAGGCTGGTGACATTAAGTGCTTGAGAACTGAAAGTGTTCGTAAACGTTCCCTGCTACTGTTGCAAACCGAAAACCAGCTTTGTGGTTCTGTGGTAAAAGATGCAAGAACTAGATCAGTGCAACGGTAAAACACCCATATGGAGTGCAACATGCTAGAAAAAAAGCGACAAAAAGAGATGGGTTTCTGGAGGGAAAACAAAAAGTAGCGGATTCAAGAAGGGGAATTTCACAGCAGGGGTCAGAAGAAAACATGGCAGCTAAATAACGTGTAGGACAAGCAAAATTGCTACAGCTATTGAACTACTGCTACTAATGCATCTCCTGCTGTCTTTGCATTATCAGATAGAGACATTTTAACTGATCTTTAATGTTTTATAGTGACTACGAAAGTGTTTCTGTGTTGCAAAATCATTTACGAAATGTTTTAAAAGTCAAACTTGATCACATTTCAACTAGCGCCAAAGATGTAATTTCATTAGCGCCCATTATAGGAGTCACGCCAACATGACATGCGCTGTGGGGTTCTTCCATTAGGGGAACATGGGACAGCCCCTCTAAAAACTACAAAGCTGTGCCATTCAGCCCAAGACCTTTGATTTCAACCCACTCGTAACTATACACTTTTCTGCCTGTCATCACCAATCATGGTTAGCCTCAAGATAAAAACGGCTCTTTGGCTGGTATCCCCCCAAAAAAAGGACGAATGAGGAAAATCCCAAAGTGAAATAAGGACAGACCAGAGTTCAACTCTTCAACTCATCATTAAATGACAACAGAGTTTAGCCGTGATGGTTAGCCATAACAATGTCTTGCTTTGTAAAATTTGATAGGTTTGATTCAGTTTGGAGGGGTGGTGATGAACAAACCTGAGTGTATAAAGGTATAGTTCACACAAAGAAATGACCGTTCTGTCATCATTTGCTAACCTTCATGTCACTCGAAACTTTTATGCTGCTATTTGTTCCATGGAACCAAAAAAAAGTTGGCTGGATCAGAAAACACATGAAAAATCACTTCATATATTTGAATTCATTTCTCCAAAGCCATAGATCTTAGATAGATCTATAGATCCTAGACATTAAATATAGTGCCATATGGACTAATTTTATATACATTTCATACTAAATTTATTTGAGATGTTTTGTGTTTTTGGAGCCTGACCGTCCAAGGTCAGTATTAACTGTGTTAAGATTCTTTACAAATTATGGTATTCCACAAAAAGAAAACATCATACAAGTTCAGAATGACATGTTCATTTCTGGGTGAACTATTTCTTTAAAGTAACCCATTCTCAACACCATCATTGTTTCTTCACAATTCAACCTAAATCTCGGTTGATTTATGAACTAGGCCATAAAAATGGCCGGTGTTGTGGATGGCCATTACCAAGACAACAAAACACAATCCATGGAGAGAACTAAACTCACAACACATCAATCACAGAGAAACTAATTTCCCAGCAGCAAAAAACACACAACACAGAAAACAGCAAGAGAAAGATGCTGCCTACTGCTACAACCTGCACACTAGTCTCAAGAGTATTACATATAAATGAATTTAATTTTCTGTAAAAATATGCTTTCGCCTGGAAGATATGACCCTACGTACTGTAAGATATGTGTGAAAAGAAAACAGCTGCAGGCGAGTAAGATCACCAGCTATGGTACATTTCAATCGCAGTCAGTGTGAACGGTCAATGCATTAATATATATCAAGTAACTTCTTTTGTTGCATGCTTTGTTGAGATACTTCACATAAACCGCAGCATTTTTTTGCAGGAAATTATGTATGAACTCATTTACATATTAAACTGCATCTGGCCAAGAGTGACCATGTGTAACACCATTAAATTTGTAAATGGTGCAACAAATGAATGATGAACGAAAATCATAATTGCAGATCGTGATTCTGTAAACGATAGCACTACCATTTGCTTACTGGATAGGCAAAAAAACCTCATTAGCAAAAGCAGTTCCTGTCCAACACAAATGGGTTACGGCTACAGCACTAATCACACTATATTGCAGGCCATGTATTCCTGCGCCAATCTCCACTCTGCAGGGGAAACCTTTGGCCCCATTAAGTAAATCAGTAAATGTATAGTAGTATTCATACTACAGCTGGTTTTATGCCAGGAGTTTCATGCCTAGGCACAACATACAGTGTGCTGGGTAAGACTTGAAAAACAAATAACAGTTTGAGCTGCCAACGGCCCGTAAATCGCTGGGTTTGCTTGGGGGACCTAAACTAGGTTTACAGATTACAGTAAATACGCATTGAGTACCTGTTATCATTGAGTTGGGTGTATCGAGGCTGAGGGTCTGGGTCGCCATCATTAACATCATAGCTAGCATCTGGATCCTGAGAATATGTAAGAAACATTTAATGCAGTTATTTTGTTTTGGGTTATATATAATAGTTGTTTATTCACTCACATAGTTTTGAATCAGATCTGGGTGGTTTTTTTCAATTCCATCATCCAATATGGACACGACGACGCCTTGTCCAGTAAAACCCTGCTTCCAGGCTTCCTTCACGTTGAGGTCACGATGATCTTCGTTGTACTGAATGGAAAATAAGAGAAAGAACAGATCAGCATAGACGCCACTTCCCTCCTGCTAACTACTCTGCTGATGCTGAACATCAACCAGTGCTTAAGGATCATGTTTTGAGGATCATCTTTCACAAATCTTTCACTTTTGAAGCTTACATCAGCCCTCTGATTCAAGGCTGCAGTCTGCCGTTATCGCAATACCGCATGGCCTCCTGTTCTAGGCATGAAGGATGCTGAAACTTTAGAATATGCCTTCACAATTTCCGGTCTCGGTTATAGCAGTGCCCTGACACACTTCATACTGCCCTTCACATACTGCACTGTAACCTCAGGTATCGCGTTTATGGTTTGCTTGCTGTCCTCTTGATGTGTAGATAGTAGCGCTTTTACTGTACGGTTTATATTGAATTTATATTACACAATTTTGTTATTTTCACACCTGAGCTAATATATGAATTAAGCAGTTCTGCATTGATGCCAGATTTTTATTTTATTTTATTTTGAGGAAAAATAAATAAAAATATGTAATTACTGAATTATTCAAAAATGTTAACTTAAAGAAATCATACACTACCATTCACAAACATTTTTTTTTCCAAAGAATCATCTTATATTAACAAAACTGCATTTATTTGATCAAAAGACCGTAAAACAGTTATATTGTGAAATATTATTATCATTTAAAATGAACAGTAAATTTTTAATATAATGTTTTAAAATTGTATTTATTCCTGTGATGGCAATTTTCAGCAGCCATTGCCATTAAATCATTCTAATATGCTGATTTGGTGCTCAAGATTTCTTTTCATCACAGTTGAAAATGTTTTGCTGCTTAATACTTTGTGGGGAAAAAGTATTACTGTTTTTACTGTATTTTTGATCAAATAAATGTGGCCTTGGTGAGAATAAATGTTTTCAACACTGATAATAATATATGCTTATTGGGCAACAAATCAGCATATTGAAATTATTTCTGAAGGATCATGTGACATTTAAGACTAATGATGCTGAAAATGCAGCTTTGCATCACAGGAATACATTAGAGTTCAATATTATAAAATAGAAAAACATTTTAATGTAATATATCACAATATTACAGTTTTTTTTTTATCAAATAAATGCAGCCGAGGTGAACATAAGATGACTGTAACAAAAACAAACATCCAAACTTGTTGAGAAATGACTAGTAGCCGAGCCAAGAGCGCTGTCAGGCTGACCATCCACCCACCCACTGTCAGACCACAGAGATCTGCCCGCTCCCACTCCACTCCAGTGCAACAATAAACATGGCCACCTTTTATCTGAGCAGAAAATTTAATTTATTTTCGCTACATGGCTTCTTGACTTTCCTTTTGGTCACAGGGTCACTGCTCTCTTCCCCAGGGAGGTCGCAGGGAAAGATTGAAGCCAGAAAGGTGCTGTCAGGTCTGATGACCCCAAAATGATGCTCTCCTGCTTATCCTGGGACTGTCCAGGATAAGTCAAACGAAGAGAACAGAGTTTAATTCTTAAGCCTACATCAGGCAAAATTATGCAATCTCGCCTCAAAGGTCCAGTAATAATGGCTGTGAGGTTGATAAATTGCCGCTGATGACCTTCAGTCAACTGTTGCAATTGCAGTGAAACTTTCTCTGCATTCCATTTTGCGGAAATGTTATTGAGTGGATTCTAACCGTTTTACTGATAAACATGATTGATAACGCTGCCGTGAAGAGGGGAAAAATGCGCTGAGAAAGGATTGGAGCTCAGACTACAATTTTATTGTTTTTTCAAAGTCATGACATTTCCCCAAAATGTGAGAAAAAGCATCTATTTTCTCCTTGGTTCATTAGCTGGAACAAAACGTACAGGTCTGGTGAACCACCACTGAATGCAGAATGACTGAGCAATGACTAAACACAAATTAACGATTCTCATTACACTGCAAGATTCTCATAGATGAGAGACATGAAGGATGTAGGGACTCCTAATAACTACTTCAATAAATAAATAAATATATTTATATTTAATATTATAAATAGGTTTTATAAATAAGCAAAAATAAATAAATACATAAACTCATTCATTCTTTATTTCTCTTTCTTTCTTTTTTTCTTTCATGGCCTTGAATAGACCTGCAAATTATCATTAAGTCTTTAAAAAGAGCACATTAATTCAAAGGTCTTATTAATAGTAAAAGTATCGAGATAACAGGAGACTGTGAGGAAGGAATAACAAATAATTGTAAATATTGTCTGTAGCCTTAC